TCCTTTAGTACTTCATTGATATTTTTCTGCCTTCACAAATACTGCATATGAACAGTTATATTTAATTTGATTTATTTATACCCATAGACACAGACAACATATTTCAGAAATACTAGCCTAGCTACAAATTTTATTTCCCAACCCTACTAATACACAAATAAGCAAGTAAAATTACTCAGGAATGAACAATAGAAATGGACCATTTCTCACCATGTTCACTGTTACTACTCTGATTTGAGCCACCCTCATCCACTCTTTAGATTGCTGTTACTCCCTGCAGTATATACTCTCTGCCCAGCAGCCACAATAATCCTTTTAAGTTAGATCCTGTTTTTGCTCTGCAAAGATTCCCCATTTCCCTGTCAATCCCTAATCCTCTGACTTCATGTTATTTACTCTCCATCTCCCTCTACCACCCTTAGTCTTCTTGCAGTTCTTAGAACATACTGGCCACATCCCTGCCTTAGTTTCTTTGCTCAAGGATCTCCCTCTGCCTGTAATGCTCTTCTCCCAGCCTATCTGCTTGGTTAACTCACCCTGCCCAGTCCAATCTTTCCTCTCTTGAAGGCCTGTTCTGGTCATCCGCTTCATATGGTGTTTGCCATACCCATCACACTCCCTGATCCCAGACCCTATATCCCCTGCCCTTTTTTAGATAGCACTTACCACCTTCTAACAATCTCAGGGGTGCATTTACCATGACCCTAATGAAACTTAAGCTTCAGGGTTCCTTCCCTGCACAGGCCCCTTCCAAAACCCTGGGGGAAACACCAGCAATGGGTGTACATGGCCAAGTGTTCCTGTAAAATTTGCAAATATATCTTAACTGTGATTGGTTGAGACTATTGTCTGTTTCTACTCCAGCTTCCTCTCCTGTCAAGTTTTCCCTTGTACCAACTGGTGTTGAAGTGGCTGCCAGCATTTTTGAGGTCTGGCAGGGGGATATTGAGTTGGGGATACATTTAGTTTGGGTATAGTGGAATGTAATTAGTGTTTTGCAGTCACTTCCCTGTACATATGGCTCAGTTAGTGCTAGCTGTTCTGATGTGGAAAGAGCTTCCAGGAAGATGGCTACTGCCTGCTGGCCACAGAGTGCATTGCTTTCTGACTATGGACTAGGGTGCTTGGCATCAAAAGTATATAGGTGGTGGAGGAAAAACATGGTGTGAAAATAATAAAGCCAACTATTTGTGGAAATTCTTCCACATTTTACAGCTCACATTTTAAAGAAAACTGATTAAGGTTTCCTCAAAGTTGACATCAATCCTAAATATTTTTATGAAATGGCCAACGAAGTTGTGAAGCTGAGAGAGATTTTTCTTTTTTAAACAACTTTTTTAGATTTTATTTATTTATTTGAGCTCGATCCCATGACCACGAGATCACAACTTGAGCCAAAACCAAGAGTCAGGAGTTTAACTGCCTGAGCCACCCAGGTGCCCCCCCCCTTTTAAAAAATTTTTTATAGACTTTATTTATTTGAGAGAGAGAGAGAGAGAGTGGGAAGGAGAGGGAGAGAGAATCCAAAGCACACTCTGCAATGAGCATAGAGCCTGATGGAAAGAGATTTTTCTAATTAAAAAAAATTTTTTGATTAACCGTGCTAGAGGGAAGAATTATCTTTCTAGTCTCCTTATAGAAAATGTTACCAAATTATCACATGAAAAGGTGATCAAAGACAATTCAGCTAAAATATGTGTGTTGGATAGTTAATTAATGAAAATATTTTGTAATATTTTTGCTATGTGTGAGCTTTTTAATGTGTGTAAATTGTGATTTCTTTTCTTACTTTAAATGAATATTTTGTATCTAGTTTTACACTTGTAATTTTGCATTCTTTTTGTTAAAGAAGGCACACCAAATTCTATTAAAGTCTACCAAGCTTATATGATTTGATGGTCTTTCTTTAACAACAAAAAAATTAACAATTAGCACTTACAAGACCTGGATGTACCCTGACTATGCTATATAATTTACTTACATGTTCTGTTGCTCAAAAGCAGGAATCTTAGCTCATTGGTGTTTCTTAAGCACCTGAGCAGTGCTTGGCACATGGTGGGCACTCAGTAAATATTTGTTGAGTGAATCAATCAACAACATTACAATAAAACATTGGTATTAATCTAATTTAATCCTGCTTAAGAAAAGTCAATATTGACATGAAGGAGAGTAAAAAGACTGTAGTTCATGGAAAACACTCCTTAAAGCTTTTTACTTGTTGTAACTAATCATAGAGGTAAATTCTTATTCATAGGTATTTTTTTCACTAGTCATTAGCTACCATGTTTTTAAGAGGATCTGGATCACTTTTTTTTAAAGTTCTATTATCTTATTCCTTAGGACCCAAGACTAGTCTCAGTTAGTTTTTTCCATCATCCCACTCCAAGGATAAGAATTTAATTCTAGAGCTGTAGGGAGGTGAGGCCATGCAAAGAGCCACTGGGAAGCCAATACAGCAGTCGTTTTTCTTAAGCCAAGGATCAGGCAGCAGGAAAATAAAAGTAGACTATTTTTTAAATTTTCTATATCTAGTCAATCACAGAAACTCTGTTTAGAGAGTAATCTTTGTTTAGACATTGGACAGTAGAAGTAAAAATACTTCTCATGCAAAGGAAGAAAAAAATAAATACTTGGATTTTAGAAAAATGAGCATAGTAATGAAGACCCTAAAAATGAGAGGTGGGCCTTAAGAAAAGTAGCATCTCATAGCATTTCATCTTGGGGAATTTTTATTTTTGTAAAAATACAGAAAACAATACATTATACGAATGACTACTGGAGGGCAACCTTCTTTCACTTAAACACCTAAACTTTTACTTAAACTCTAAAACACATGTACATTTTTAAATGCCCTTATAGGGATTTTTGGAGACCAGAGCCTTGTTTGCTTGTTTGTTTGTTTTTGAGAACACTTCTGGATATAGAAGGGCAGACTTCTTACTGGTAGTGAAGGAAGCAGTATGCTAATGAAGGTCTTAGATTTTGGCCAACTCCTCTTTGCTTTCTCAGTTTGGCAGTGAGCACTCACACTGCTCTTTTCTAGAACATAATTTTCTGCACTCTGATTCCACATCTAGCAAGTCTTGACAAAGGAACATCAGTAAGTTCCCCAAACTGAGCTTTGGTCAACGCTAACTTTGCAGAATGCGCAACACCCAGAATTGTGACCATCCTTACCAAATGTCCCTGTTGTTTAAGAGCTCTTGTTCCAGGTGAGGGCTCTGAAGAGATTGTTGGGAGAATAAGATTCTCCACCCACATTATTTCCCATGGGTTTTCAGGCAACCCTGGGTTGGGTTTATAAAGTTCCTTGCAAAAGTAGACGGATTTCTTGCTCAGAATTGTATATGTACTCAGAAAAGAAGTTTTAAAAAAATCCTGGTTAACAAAAGATGCTAGAGGGTAGAGAATATCAATGTACCAAGGCTGATAGCTGTACTATCTCCGCGGACTATCAGCACGATAAAAAGCACTGAGTAGAAAAGCACCTACAATTCTTGAACATTATTACTCTTTTTTAAAAATCTTTCTTTCTTTCTTTCTTTTTCTTTTTCTTTCTTTCTTCTTTCCTTCCTTCCTTCCTTCCTTCCTTCCTTCCTTCCTTCCTTCCTTCCTTCCTTCCTTCCTTCCTTCCTTTCTTTCTTCCTTCCTTCCTTCCTTTCTTTCTTTTTCTTTTTCTTTCTTTCTTTCTTTCTTTCTTTCTTTCTTTCTTTCTTTCTTTCTTTCTTTCTTTCTTTCTTTCTTTCTTTCTTTCTTCCTTCCTTCCTTCCTTCCTTCCTTCCTTCCTTCCTTCCTTCCTTCCTTTCTTTCTTTCTTTCCTTTTCTTTTTTTCTAAAACCTAAGGAAGTGCTATTGAAGCACATTATTTCCCAAGCTAGGTTAGGACTAATTAAATAACTCTCAAAACTCTCTCAAAAGTAAAACAGATGGTTTTCTTTCTTTTTAAATAAGGTATTTTCCTAAATTATCTTCTCTGGAAATAGTACTAGAGAGAAATACAATGCTCTGATGTGATAGGTGTATCAGAAAGGGAAGAAAAGAACTTTTGAGAAAAAATAAAATAAGCAAGGATTTAAATTATTCATCAGGCCTCTCTTGGCCTGCTTCTATTCTTAAGAGCCTGGTGAATGGAATGGCACACCCCACATGTGTCCACAACGTGGTTAGGGGATGGTGTTCACTGCGAATCCCTCCTTCTGGACGGTTTGTTTGGATACTTTGGACCAGAATGCTTGCTAGCATTTTTTTTTCTCAGCAAGTGTTGCATAATGCAATGTTAAGAATTTTATCTCTGTTCTCAACAACTTGTTGCATATGTGCACTTAAAATGGGTGGCTTCATTGTACTGTTATGCAATAAATCTCTCATGTTGAATATCCTTTTAGTGAGTCAGAAGATGAGCTGAACACTGATATATTTTATCATTTTTATCTTTTAAAGGTTTTATTTTTAAGTAATCTCTACACCCGACATGGGGCTTGAACTCACAACCCTGAAATCATGAGTTGCATGCTCTGCTGAGTCAACCCATGAACACTGATATGTTTTAAATATAAATCAAAGATTCCTCATGTAATTCATGGCTTTATATGTTTCAAGAAGAATGAAATGAACTAGCTAATTGTTCGCTAACTGACCTTTCTTTGGTGCTTGTTCCATTTAAACATCCAATGCAGTTAGTGATTTTTCCTTTAACGTCCATGTTTTCTTCTATTTTAAAGTTGTAGGGAATGCCAGTCAGGTTAAAGACACTGAAACTGAAAGGAGAAACAAGAGACTTAATTATACTATTCTAGTCCTGTTGATTTTCATTGCCAATTACTTGCACATGTTCATAGAGGCAGGCCTTGCTTTGCACAGTTCCCACATGCATGACTTTCAGTTGACACCATACTGTGCAAAGCCAGGACTGCTTGCCTTTATATATGCATGTATGAACATATGTACAAATGTGTAGGTGCATGTATTTATTTTTAATTTTGAATGCGCTTATTTTTCAGATATTTGAAAATGGTAAAGATACTGGAGAGATCTCTGTTTGCATCAGCATAAAAGACCTGGAGTCTAATAGCCCAACTCAAACTGGTGATATGATGGAAAAAGTGAGTTTACAGAGTGTTTATTTATGGCGGGAAATGTCCCTCAAGTTACTTGTAGTTAATTTAGACAATTACGTCTGTAAAGTTGTTTTGAGAAGATTAATCATTTGCTTCTCTGTAAAGATTGATAGTTCAAGCTTGACTTTTGAATTTCTTAGGCTCTCAGCTTTCGGAGAGTATTAACTCTTGGCCTCATACTTAACAGTGTCTTAACCTTCATTATGCCTGTATTTGGAAATCTGTCTTCACTGGACTCTGGGATTGCCCTCTTGTTTACACTTCAAAAAGAAGTGACATGATATTCAGTGGAGGATATGTTCTGGGTTGGGGGTATTTCTAAGCCCTAGACACTGAACAACTAGCATATAGCCTTAGTCGTCTCCTGTGCTCATTGCAAGCACATCCAGATGGTCTATCTTAGGCACTCTTACCTTTGCTTATTTTCCAGACAATTGGGATGTTTCTCAGGCAGAACCAACATGTTCAGGGTCTTTATTTTGGGTCTTTGTCTTGCATAAAAGGACAATGAATGCCCTGTTGTTTACAAATTGGGGTTATGCACTCGAGCATACACCAGTGTTTTGGGCTCTGTTCCTTGGCCTTTGTTCAGAGACTTGCTCCTTTTTTTATCCCCCTTCAGTTTAGCACCCTCAGACTTACCTCTTCCTGGTGGTATCCATTACCTGGCCTTCGCAGTTACACAGAGTTAGGAGAGTACAACACAAGAATTGTATAGAATTAGGCGATTTTCATCTGATCTGTTCATTGGCTGGGTCCAGGAGAGATGGGAAATGCTACCTCGATTGATTAGAGAGAGAAGGATCAAGAGCCTTGGTTGGTTTCTTTTTACTATCATATCCCTGACTATATGAATCACCATGGTATAAAAGCCTTCCTAGAATTCTCTACCTGTTTTCCCTCTTACTTGCCTTAAAATATTTTACTTTTTGGTGTACATTAAAATTAAAGACAGCATTTATTTTATCTTATACAGGCAGATATTATTTTGTAGAAAGTTCTTGTGTTGGCTGATGGCATGCTGAAATTGATCTATGCTTTGCTTTTATATGCAAGTAGATCTGGGGGAAAACTTGAATTAGGGGCACTATAAAGCTCTCTGTTAGGGAGATTCCCTCGTGATACCCAAGGATGACTGTTCCTTTGCTGCTCACTTGTCTCAGTTATTAACCCAAGATGTTTCACAGTCTTCTCAGGTCCCTAAACAAATTCTTATCCTATAAAGGCCTGGTGATTATAGCTTTAGAGATAAATGGGTGAAAATTATCACAACTTTTGGTTGCCATAGGCTAGCCCTAACCATGACCTAGAGATGAAAGGCACCAAGGCCCTTACCTCCTGATGGCTGTTGAATGTGCATCTTTGAACACCTAAAATGCAGTCTGTCACCAAGTTGAAAAAATAGAGATTGCAATGCTACTCCTGTGAAAATGAATTTGGTTAAGTGGTCAGGTGTTCATATCCTATTCTTTGTGTACACATTTCTTTCTTGGATCAGGCTTTAAATCTTTTATATCTTTCCCCTTCACAAAAAAAAAAAAAAAAGGTGATGCCTGGAAAACAGAATCACTGTGATTTAAAAGATGATCACCATTACGTGTTTTCTGAAATAATAGCAGACCAACAAAAAATAAGCTCAAGGGCTGAGATCACACAGAAATAAACATGAAGCTTTGTAAAAACAGTCTTATAGAATTCAAACTACGTTTGTAGTTCCAATGAACAAAACCTAAAACAATGCAGATTTTTAACTGCCCTAGCACCTTGTCTATTATACTCCCAAGGAGAATAGTAATCATTATTTTTAATTCAAAGGACCTGGTTAGGCAGGATGAGAAGTATTAACTTTAATGAGATGAAAAATGTGTCATTGTTTTCAGCCTTTCTGATGCGTAAGGGTAAAAATCTGGTCAACACAGAGGTGAGGAAAACAATGCAGAGCTGATGAAGTCAGAGATATGGCTATTTATCTCCAGTTACAACAAAGCTTAAATCTTAGGTGTTCTGTAAATATAGTTGCTGGTCAAAGAAAATCTTTCACCCAGACAAGAGTTTATAGCCAATAGGTGAGGAAACTGAGATATATGACAAGATCGTGACTTTGTCTTCTTTCCTCTGAGCTTCGGCATTTAGCTTCTCAATATGTCTTCAATGGGAATTAATAGAAGGAGCAAAAAAAGCATCCTGTACAGCAGCTGGACAAGAAAAGGCCACAAATGTACCCGCATCCCTGCCGAGATTACAGAGTAACAAGAAATTGAGAGACACAAGAACTGACAAGGGAGAGAGGACAGAAGCCTGGGGGGGGGGGTGCGGGGGGGAGAACAGAGTGATGGATAGTGTGGGGTGCCGAGCAGGAAAGAGCAGAGGCCTAAACATTCAAACAAAGTTGATGGATAAGGAAAAATGTCCTCTAAAATTCCATATGCAACACAGTTCAGGGGGATTTACTTTCATTTAAAATGTGCGTGAAATTAGGAAGATCTTGATGGTTTAGCAGGCCTAAATGTACGATAGAAGCAAACACTGACAATGCTAGTATTTAAAATATCAAATGAGAGCACTTCATACTTCACATTTCAATGATGGCTAACTCACAACGTGAAAACATTGATTATTGAAGCAGCTCACAAGCTTTTGCAAGGCTCTTAATTGAACTACATTTGAAAAGAGTTATTCTAAGTGAACCAACATCGGCTGAAAATCATGTTTATTTTTGCAGTCCTGTAAGTGGTGAGTTGTTCTATCATTGGTTATCTGCGGTTAGTTGGGGACGGGGAGTTTGCCGATTCTAAAATTTGAACGTGCTCCGGAAGGATCCTAACAAAATGTGTGGCTCGGACAAGAAAAGCATAACCTTTATCAAAGAGGACTGTTACCGTGTGTAGAAGCTAAATGCTCTTTCTGTAAGGCTGTCACATCTGCTTTCAGTCCCCGTGCCAAAGGGTCAGAGCTCAATCACAAGCCTGTGGCACCCCCTGCTGGTTAAAAGCCCATGCTCATTTTGTTACTTTACACTGAGCTAAACATTGCCATCATTTCACACTTCTTTTAACATTCTATATGAATTTAATTATCATTTGTTTGGATTCATTTGTTACAGAGTAGAGACAGTTTGTTATAGATGTTCACATTTTACATTATTATTTCTTTTTCTCCTTCTTCTTCTTCTTCTTCTTCTTCTTCTTCTTCTTCTTCTTCTTCTTCTTCTTCTTCTTCTCCTTCTTCTTCTTCTTCCCCATCACAAGTTACTTCTCAGGATTCATCAAAGGCTTCAAGGATCTCCCATCAACCCACCAGGCCTCAATTTTTCTTCAATACGGCTTTTTGATGAGCACGGTCAAGAAATTAGGAATCCACTTTTGCTGAAGAATGAGCAAAAAATTTGGGTCTCTTATGGTAAAGCATACAGGTAGGAGCAAGGTGTTTATTCTCTGTCTGTCCTCAATCTTTCCAGGGGCAAGCTAATTTAAAAGGAGAGTTGAGAAGCCAAGTAGCACCCTTTATGAATTTTTTTTTAAATTTTGAATTCCAATAAAATTTCAGGGGCGTTTTTTTGTGAGGCAGTATTGTTTGTGAGATATGACATCTCTCTCTCTCTCTCTCTGACTTTCTGTCTTAATGCCTTGTCATAGTTCTTGAAGTCCGCCTGTCAGCACAGCAAGTGGGATTTGTTCATGTCTGAGTAGTCACCTTAATGATAGCAGATGGAAACGCCACAGGGGGCCCAAACCCATCACACTGTCATTGCCGCGCACTGCCCTGACCTGCTTCCACTCCTCTATTTTTTTGTCCCTTTTTAAAGGAGAAATGGATGGTAATTGAAAAGGATCTTAAGCAAGATTTATGAAGCTGTAGACAACATGATTCCCCACTATCTCTCTATGTTTTCACAAATAAAGTCTTAACCTCTTAAGCACCGATGACAGGACAGCTAAAGATAAATTGGTAAAGCTTGTAAGCCCTATCCTATCAAAGTTATATTCCTCAAAAGCGCCTTACATTATCCCACAATAATTACTGGTTATTGCTGAGCATTGTGTAAATTTTTGTAGATTGGTAAATTCCTGCATAAAATTATCTGTGTTTCTGGGAAAAGAGAAAGGCTGCAGTCTACAGGCACTGATGAGCTGGGCTGTTGTGTGGAATATCTTAGAAATGTATGCATATTTTGACAGGACACATCCAGATGAACTCTGAAACTGCTTGTCAGGAAACTTAAACACGCTTTTCTGCCGACTTCAAAATTTTTTAAGCCTTTATTTATCTGAATAAGGGAAATAGGGGAAAATAACTTGGCTTATCGAGTATAATTGATCATATATTAATTATAACGAAAATAGCATAGACAGACAAGGAGCTGATTGGATTTGCTATGTAATCTAAGAGTCAAAATTTCAAATACTGAAATAAATCTACTCACAAAGTCATGAAGGTTTTGGAAGAAGTTGGTAGGAATAGTTGTGGGTAGTATATGATAAAATTCTATTTTTTCTCTCCCAGGAGAGGGAAATTAAAATGTTTAATAATTTCTTATGCTGTGTAATTTATAGAATTAAAAATATATGCAAGGAATGATGTTTTCTTCCATAGATAGATTCCAAAATATAAATTAGTTACATTGTGAGAATTGTTTTTATAATGGTAGAACAGTGGTGAATTTTACAGTGGCAAGGATTCTTGAATAATTTAGCAAGCTCTTCCAATTACAAGGAAAGGCTTTAATAAAATGTGTGTCTAATAATTTCTTCTTAAATATCATTATTAAATTGAAAGCAATGACTAATTTTGATGTTTTTAAGGATGTTTGTGATAATACAGTATTTTTAATAAGATGAAACACTTGTTCCTGGTTTATTGGATCATATTTGTGGAATAACTTAGTAAAATGCTAAGTATCTGGAATACTCTAAAATCAACTGAGGATTGTAGCCAGAAGAACTCATAAGTGTATATTTGTTTATATGTCATTGTTATTTTAATAGAATTTTTTTTTTCTGGTTTTGAACCCAGTAATCCAAAGCACTAGGAAACCATTATAGTATTTTCCTACTATTGGAATTTCTGAAATTTATGTCTAAAAGTTATTTTCTAGATCTAGTTTAAAACATATTGGGAGAATGTGCAATATGTACTAAGTAAATGATACTCATTTTTAGACAGTAATTTTAATGTGTTGGTTGATATGGGGAGTTAGGTTACTCATTTATAAAAGTTGATTTTGCCAATATCTGCTTTTATTTTGAGTCCTGTAATTATTTGTCTCCCAATTTTTATTTTGGAAAATATCCAATCTACAGAAAACTTGAAAGAATAGTATAATGAACACCTATGTATCCTTCACCTAGGTTCACCCGTTTAGAGTCTGGCTCGTTAGTTTTACCTCTTATATCTCCCTTTCTCTCTTTTGAGAGGTTTTAGATTATTTCCAGACAATCATTAAAGTTTCACTCATAAATGCTTCAGGTCATGTAACTGAAGAATAGGATGTTCTTCTGTGTCACCACATTGTAAGATCTAGCACAGTTAACAATAATGTAGCATCATCTAATATACAATCTATGTTTAAACTATCCAAAATGTGCTTTAGAATTTTTTGTAGTGTAGGATCCAAGTAAGATTCATGTATTGCATTTAGTTATCTTCTTTAGTTCTCTTTAATTTAGAATATTCTCTCACCTTTTGTTTTGCTTTTCATGACATTGAATTTTTTTTAAGAGTTCAGGCACTTTTCTTATAGAACGTCCCACAGTCTGGATTTGTCTGCATGTTTTCTTATGATTAGAATCAGTTTAAAAATTTTTGACAATCCTACACAGGTGATGTGATTGAGTCCTATAATTATGAAGTTAAATAGCAAGGCTTTGTCACCAATTTAGAAAAAAAAAATGGCTCATAGTTGAGATAGTACCAATTGCTATTATTTTTATTTAAGATCTGTTTCCTATTTGATTTTAATTCTCAAATAATTAAATATAAAACAAAGTACCTAACAGTATGTAATATGAAAAGTCAAATCAGCATAACATTTAGTGAGCTCAAAAAAAAGTAATTTATAGCCAAATATTAAGAATTCATTTAATTATCAGCTCCAGAGAATATTAATGGTGTATTGCATTGTAGTTATACATTTAAAAATGAAAATTGCATGGATGACAATTGGTTGTTTTTCTCAACTAAATACTTTGCTTTTATTATTGAAATTATTTTAAAAATTTACATGTGTTACAACTATCTTTGACATTATAAATCAGCCAAATAAACTAAAATGTGCATTTCAGGTGCCAGTACAAGATATCAACAATAGTGCTATATAATAAGAAATTCACTTATTGCTGGACTTTGTTACTCACTGATATTACAGGTTTTATTGTTTATTTGTGCTCAAGTTTCAGTGCTTGTATGATTTTGCATATAGCTTTGATGTTTTTTTCATTTTTCAGATCTCCACTTACCCCTGTTTTGAGTCTCACCTTTGACCAGGTGACTGCATTTGACAGAGGTGGCATTACAGTTGCACATAAAACCTTCTTGGATCCTAATGCTGTTCTGCTACCTGGATGTGACAAGTAAATTAACATGTGCTCGATTAAAGTAATCTGAATTACCCAATTCAGATTGTAACACTAAAAGATGTTCTAAAGCAATTATTTATTTTATTGACTTATTTCATGATATAATGAGCTAGTGTCTAAAAGACTTATCAGTAACTTTTCTTGAATTAAAAAAAAAACACATTAAGCAATGAGCAGACTCTAGTTTCTGCTTTGCAGATGTAACAATTTTATTTGAAATGTAAAAACTGTTTTTAGTGGATGTTTCTAAATTAAGAGTTTTGAGTGGAATCATTAAAATATTAAATATGTTTTTCGTATGAATGTTCATATGTAAGCATCTCCTTTGATGATGATAAATTGAAAACAAAAGCAATATGCTAGAGAATTGGTGGAGTGGTGGGAAGAAGAAGTCAGAAGATTTGAGCATCTAGACCCATCTCTGCTGCTCATGATTGCCCATGAGCAGATGGGTGTCTGCTTCTTATCTGTAAATAATAAAACCCAGTATTTACTAAGTGTTGACCACAGTTCTAAATGAATTGGGTAAGGATTTATTTAATCCTCAAAACAATGATCTTAATGCCATCATTACATTGTCTTATTATTACTCCATTTTATAGAGCCAGAACTGAGGCACAGAGGGGCAGAATAATTTGCCCAGTCACACAACTAGTATATGACAGAGCCAGGGTTCTAACCCAGATTGCCTTTCTTAAGAACTGAGGGCTTAACCACTATCTAGCACTCTCTAATAGAACTTTCTGTGATGATGGAAGCATATGTTTTGACTATAGAGAACTTAAAATATGACTAATGTGACTGAGGAACTGAATTTTTAATTTTGTTTAAATTACGTTAATTTTAATTTAAATAGGTATATGTGACTTAGTGGCTATTGTATTTCTGATAGTATGTTGGTGATAGGTGAACTATCTATAAGGTCCCATCTATCTTTAATATTTTGTAATTTAACAAATTATAGCTTTCCTTAATATACAGGTGAAAAGGCTAGATGTAGAGGGAAAAACCAGAGAACCAGAAGTGGTGGTGTCTGATGAGGTCACTCAGTCTAGCTAGACATTGCTAAACATGTCTACAAAGATGAATTCTTTGGTCTTCCTTGGTTGTTTAAACAACTCTACCCCCAATGACTGCCTTTACTATACGGGCAAGATTTGAATGTTTTGTCTTGTTCTTTATAGATAGAAAATAACTTAGCATTCTTTTTTTTTTTTTTTTTAAGATTTTATTTATTTGAGAGAGAGCACACATGAATGGGGAGGAGAGGGGCAAAGGGAGAGGGAGAAGCAGACACCCCACTGAGCAGGGAGTCCAACACCAGGTTTGATCCCAGAGATCATGGGGAGATCATGACCTGAGCCAGAGGCAGAAGTTTTAACTGGCTGCACCACCCAGGCCCCTCCTCAGCACTTTTTTTTTTATAGACATATCCATTTATAAGAAGATTCATTTCATGTGCCACAATCTTTCCCCAAACTGCTAAATTTGCCCAGACCCTTTCCCTTCAAGTTTTAGCTAGGAGTTTAATTTTTAATTCATGTATTCCTTCTTAATTTCCCTCCCCTGGGTGCAATGAAGACTGTTTTATTGAGTGGTTTTAAGTTAGATCTAGGTCACTAAGCATAACAATATGAGACTACCCTTACTGAAAACAAACTTATTTGAAGATAATTTATATAATTTTTGGATTCCATTTGAAATTCTTTCTATACTCTAGTGTGCATTATTTGAAATCTTAATAATCATACTCTAATTTATATCTCTCAGGGTATTGAAAAAAATACTATTACCAGTAGTCCCAGAACTAGTTTTTGTTGAATAACATGCCATATGATATATCTTAATATGTCAATGTTGAGATACATAAATTATTATACTAGTGGATTAAAGAGAGTTATAATGAAATGCATTTTATTTTATTTTGACAAAAATAATGAAATATTTTACTTTTCTTAGTTGGGAAGTTTGTGAGAGATTTCCAATTAATTTCAATGGTACCAGTCAACAGATACCTGATCAATTTGAAAAGGTGGACTTGGAGAACCATTTCCTACAGAACAAGGTCAGAATTATTTCTTGTACTTAATGAAGATATTTTATATATTGGACAGTCATTCAATACTTGGTGACTGAGTGGATTTTTTGAAGGTTTTTGAAAAGTATAAGTTATTTTACAAATGTTGGGACAACTATTATTCTTTACTTCCTGTTAATTAAGCACTTTAAAACAGAACCAATATATAGTATTCCTACTAGAAAAAATTTTCACTCGAATTCTGTTATTTAAGTGCTATTGCTTAGCATATTTTCTTTATATCTACTGTATTAATAAGTTGGAGTTGTTTTAAAAAGTCTTTAAGATAGCTGTTAAATAAGCATTTGATCTATTTGCTCTATGGGTCAATGTATTTAAGGAATAGGAGTTCTTTAGAAAACCCAACTCATTACAACCCAATCCAGAAAGTTTGTTTATTAATTTACACTTAGAAATTTATCATGCCAGTGAAGAATTTTAAACATGTCTCCAAAGAAAGAATAATTTTTTTTCCTTAGTGGCAGGGTTGTTGTCTATTTCAGCGGCCTAAGCTTTAGTGTTTAAACTCATGAAATCAAAACCAAAAGGCACCCACAAAGATGGAGATGCCCAAAGAAAGTAGGACTTCCTGTTAAATGATCTGGGCCCTTTATTTCCAAGACACAATGCAAAAGACACATTGTCCCAACCTGCTCTTTTGTAATTTCTCCATGCCTGCTCAGTTTATTATGTCAAAATGTATACTGAAAATGTTAGTTATTTTAAGGCACATGTGAATCTAAATAACATAATTATAAAAATATAATAAAGTAAAAAATTATAGTTGACCCACGAACAAGGGAGTTAGGGGTACTGATATCTCACAGTTGGAAATCCACATACAGTTTTTTCCCACGTATAACTTTTCACTGCCCCCAAATTTAACTGCTAATAGCCTACTGTTAACCAGAAACCTCACCAATAGCATAAATAGTTGATTAACACCTATTTTGTATTTGTATGTATTATGTACGGTGTTATCGCAATAAAGTAAGCTAGAGAAAAGAAAATGTTATTGAGAAAATTATAAGAAAGAGAAAATACATTTATAGCATTGTACTGTATCAAAGAAAATCCACATGTAAGTGGACCTGTGCAGTTCCAACCTGTGTTATTCCAGGGTCAGCTGTATTTTTAACCCTGTCATATTCTGAGCAAATTTAGAAAATAAATGCAAGTTGAATGGTACGCTAAGAATTAATGTTTATATTTATATTTTATATTCATCTCACATTAAGATTTATTTCCCATAATTCTGATCCTGTTGGCATTCCTTTTTAGGCTTTTGCTGTGACATTGTTTCCTGTTCAAAAAAACTTGTAAGCTTGTCTGTTACCTACTGAAATTCCAAATCTTCATCAGGCCTTCATTGATCTCCATTGTTCTCCTCTAGTATGCCCCTACTCTCAACTTTCCTTTCCAATCTTCTTTTCTTGATCTTCTTTGTACCCTACACTACAGTTAGAGCTAAAAACTTCCGCATAACATGTTCTTCACCTGATACGCTTGTACCATGGTGTGTGTTGTTCTTGGCCTAGGATATACCCCCCTCCATTACCATTCCTTGCCTTTTAAGGCTTTATTCAACTTCTCCTTCCATGGAGCCGTCTCAGACCCTCCAGAAAGAATGAACCTTATATTATTGAACCTCCTTTTCATCCTTTGAAAATGTTCTTAGAGTTTGTGTTTTGGTATAGTCATTTGTTTTTGGGTCTTTCTCTTCCATTAAATTGAGAATTCTTTGGACACAGACATTATGTCTTACTCATCTTTGTATTTTTTAATTCCAGCACAGATCTTGAATGTAGGGCAGGTGCACAATACATTCTTGATGAATGATTTTTTAAAATTTGGCTACAACCTATCTTTCAAGGCTCAATATTCTCTAATATGTTCTTCATGTGTTAGCCAAGCCTGATTGTTCATTTGTTGTTTTCTGACAGTACTTCATGATTTCTGTTATTATGCTCATGTGGATCCCTTTGCCTGGAATTCAACCTCTTTGTCTTTGTTACCACCCACCAGCGTTCTTCGTCACTTTTATGCCATATTCTAACACTATCTGGCATATGGCTAGCATTCATTAAATGCTCACTGAAATTCTGCCCATCATTCTAGCTTTATCTGATTTGTGCCTGTTTCATGAAAGCTTCCTTTACCAACCTTCATCCCCAAACTGGATATGATGTTTCTGGACTCATATCTTCATTGCATCCATTCTATGTCCCTTATGACATTGAACTTGACGTTTCTCTTAAACATTTTTTGCATAATTCAAAGTCAACCAGTGTTCCAAGTGAACACATTTCAGGTCACATTGGGGAAGAAAAGGGAAAACGGTAGATTCCACTGAGAATATTGGGATCAGATCATAAAGGATCTTAACTCAATGTTAGGGATTCTGGATGTTGTTCTGTAGAAAACAAGGAGCCATTGGAAATATTCAAGCAGAGGCAGGATCTGATTTGATGTTTGTACTAGGAAGACAACTCAGGAGTCCTTTTTTTTAAATCCTTCCTGCTGGATTCGACATTGCTCAGGGCCAGAGGGCATCCTGATCATCCTTGTCATTGCTGTAATATCTACATGTTCAGAGTTAGCTAGATAGAATTGAATTCACTAGTTAATTAACTCATTCAATAGAAACCAGCTCAAAACTGAGAACAACAACAAAAAAAAGGATATCAAAGAGTTATCAGAGAAAAAGAATTCAAAGGAGGCTTCTTTTTTGATTTTATGCCAATGTAGGACTTTAAAAGATAACTATATTTTCTAAGGTTGAAAAATAAGAGAATAACAATCCAGTTATTTCACCATTATTAACTGGTTTTAATGATTCAGTGAAAATGAGAAAGCTCTCAACTTAAATAAAGTTTGTACACTATTATATTTTTAGAAAAAAATGGTTTTGAACAAAATTTCAGTCCAACAAAAATAGTAGTATAAGAAAGCAATGATTTGATAAGCTGGCTAGTAAAAAGAAGCTTTCAAAGAAAAATGGCCATCCCTTAGCTATGAAACCTTTACAATCCTTTCAGAAAAGCATCTCCAATTATATACAGAGAGGTGATCAGTGCATTGGAAATAGTAATTTAATAACCTGAAATGGAGCACTTTTCAAGAGAGATTCTAGCAGAGGTGATAGATATCTATAGGGCCTTTTATTGTAGAATCTTGATGCTCATTGTGGTAAAGAAGACACTAAGAGGATTACAACAGGGGTAGAGAGAGGGAGGCAAAAGCCGATATTCTTGATGCATACGTTTTAAAATTGGCTTGAGATAGAGATATCAGTGCCCAACCCCTGACTGTTCTTTTAAATCTCTTATTGACAAGTAAAACCTTTCCTACAGAGAAAAATTTGGAACATATAATCCCTATTAGTAATGTGGGAGATAGATATAACCCTGACAATTACAACCTGTTGGCTCTTTTATCCATTTCAAAAAAAGATTTGGAATCTACTACAAAATGACAAATTGGAAAATACATCTTTCAATAGTTCTTTCTTGTTACTTAAACTGGCAACATTTTTAGATTGCTTCAGTTTACGGGCAATAAAATTAAATATTTCCATGCACTGGATGAGATTTAAACTTCATAGTAGTTAATATAAAAGAAAAAAAACATTTCATGAGAAGAATAGTCTGAGTAATGCCTGGTTATGGGAAAAAAATAGCAGGAAAATGGACTCCAGTGTTTAGCAGGTAATACATTCTGCCAAAATGGAAAGGAAACATTTTGATCCTAGCCTTTTGGTATAATCAGACTTTAGCAGGATATTAGTGACAACTTTTGGTATAGAAACGGTGAGAACAATACCAAATGATGACTTTAGAATTATGGCATACTTGTTTAGAGTTATAAACTTACAACTTGTAAAGTCGGCAGTCATGGATACTCACAGAATAAATTATTCTATATATCACAAAGGAGCCTGGAAAAAAATGAACAATTTTTTACTGTCCTATTTCTTTGGAGGGCAAGTCATTGAAAAATAATGTTTTCTACAAATAATTTATGCTAGGGAAAATATAAAATTTTGATTTTAATTTTGAACCAGTTACCACCAGAATAGGATACAGAACTTTAAATAAAATCCTGAGTCCCTTCCTTATTTTTAGACCAATAGTTGGAAGCTATTTGAGGACTGCATATTTACGTCTTAGATGTTTTGCCTTGTTTGGTTGCATAATTATGTACTCACTGGTATTTTCTGCTTTAGACTTTTCCAGTTCTTGGTCTTTGAGGTGGGTGTATTGATTAGCTATAGATTTAGGGAATGAAAACAATAAGAATGAACATTAGGGACACGAGGAAAGAGATTTTATAATATTTATTATAGTAGCAATTTTATTTTTTTAAAGATTTCATTAGTCATTAGAGAGAGAGAGAGTGAGTGAGAGAGAACGAGCAGGGGAGAGAGTCAGAGGGAGAAGCAGACTACCTGCTGAGCAGGGAGCTGTACATGGGGCTTGACCCGAGGACCTGGAGATCATGACCTGAGCTGAAAGCAGACCATTAACCATCTGAACCACCCAGGTGCCCCTTATAGTTGTGATTTTAATTTGTGTATCAAATTTCTTAACTTGACCTTAAATTCACTATCAGAAGTGAAAAATCTTATAAAATTTCTATGTAGTAAATAAAGTAAATGATTTGTTTAGAATAAAGGGTGTGATCTGTGAGCTTCTCCTTTCAAGAAAAATTTCATTGTCTTGTGTTTTATTCCTCAGATCTGTAAGTAAAGACCATAAGTGGTTCTCTCATTATTTTGAATTTGCACAGGAATAGCGACGGCTTTCATTAGTGATTTGGAAAAAGAAAATTAAACAAGAAGTGCTAAGAGGCCCAGAGTATGCATGCATCATTTTTTGATCACTGGCAGCTTCTGTATTAATACAGTTTATTCAGACAACCAAAATCATAACTGTCATTTAAAGGGATACATATCTATCTATCTATCTATCTATCTATCTATCTATCTATCTATCTATCCATCTATCTATCATCTATCTCCTGTATATATACATATATATATATACATATATATGTATATATATATGTATGTATTCAAAAGAATAAAAGAGGTTTCCTTTTTCCTAATGACCTAATGATATATGTGATGGTATGTATTTAGAGGATAGTCTCAGCATAAATGCTATCATACACATACCTGTGTGTGCATACACACATGCATGGCAGACCATGCTGCAGGTTGTCAAAGAACTTTTCTTTTATGAATTGTAATTTTCACAGTTTTTATCTTACCCACCTTCATAACTGTTTGGTCTAAAGCTAAACTATCTGATTAAACTAAAAAGGGAAAAGAAGGTGAAGTCATGAATTGAAATTTAATGGCCATTGTCAATTTTAAGTGTATCAGAACCCCAGATTTGGCAAGATTTTTTCTTTTAATGACAGGCAATGAAGCTGAGTTGGTGGGCCTGGCTGAGTCTGGTCTATGTAGAGTCACTTGGGAACTGTCCAGCAAAATATCTCTCGAAGAACAGCATGGTGTTAATACTGGGTGCCAACCCAAGACAGACACAAAGGACCCCTTCGCTCTTCACCAATAAGCCAACTGTTAAAAGATTAAACCATGTTGTGGAGATAACAAGAATTTAGGCCCTAGCAGCAGGTGCTGTACAAAGAAGCAGTTGTCAGTGTGGTTCTTCTGTCTGACTAATTCCAGTCAAAACAATCTTCTTCCCTGTTACAGAGGAGAGTTTTGAGTGTGATGGCAACTTGCAGTTAGGAGGTTGAGTAAGAGTGCTACTTTAAATGCTGAGTCCTGTGGCGGGTGGATTAGTAGAATATAGTTTATCATTGTTCAGAAACTGTGGGGGATTCCCCTCCAGAATCCAGCCACTACTGGCTAACTGGGGAATACACAAAAAACTGTAAGTCAAATCTGTTTCCGTCGTGGGGTTGCTCTGTTTTTGAAATTTTATTTTCACATACAGGAGTCATAAGATAGTTTCTTCTCTTGAGAAGTAACTATCTTCCATTGTAGAATAATTACCGAATATACTAGTGATGCCCTTTTGTTATTGCCTGATCACATTTGTAAATATTGCCTTTTAAATTATCATTTAATTTTTGTATTTTTAAGAATCAGTGGCTACTCAGCAAATATCTAGTATTAGCACAGATTTAGAATATACTTTTTAGTATTAAAAATAATTTAAATTGTTATGATGTCATTTATTGGGTTTAAAGTATAAACTGACATATTCCCATAATCCTATGTAAGTAAATATTGATACTTAAAAATTTTCTCAGGAAAAGTGATCATATAAGTTAGTGGAATAGTTTATTAAATATGAAGTAGAATTTCTACAGGTGATGTGAATGCCTATTATTTTTACAATCACAGCTAAGTGAGAAATGCTAGAAGGTGTACAATATCTTTGATGTATGTGTGTAGTCTGATAACAAATATGGGAGGCACAGATACTGTGTCTTACCAGTTAGTCCCCTCCTGTCCATTCCCACAACTATCACTAAATTCTCAACTCATATCCCTTTATTCTTAGAAGATTGTGGGGACCCTTAACTGCTCTCCTTTGATGTCCCTATTCTACAATCCATGGTGTCTGCCCGTGTGTGTGTGTGTGTGTGTATTATTGCCTCTTCTGTTGCAAGTTTCTCTAGGGCAGGAAAAAATATATATTTTTTAAGATATTATTTATTTATTTATTTATTTGAGAGGCGGGGAGAAAGCATAGAGGGAGAGGGAGAGGGAGAAGCAGACTCCCTGCTGAGCAGACAACCTGATGTGGGACTCTATCCCAGGACCCCGGGATCATGACCCGAGCCAAAGGCAGATGCTTAACCGACTAAGCCACCCAAGCACCCCAGGCAGGAAAAATATTTTATAATATCCCATACCACACAGTCTAGGACCTTGCGTATCAGAGCTGATGCTCAACAAATATTAACTGAATTGAATGAAATGGGACTGAGGACTACTACTTCAAAAGAAACCTTTTCAATCAGAAATATAATGTTCTAGGATAACCTGTTTTGGGTAAGTGTGTTGAAGAGGGTGGGTTTTCAGACTGTAAGTTTAAAAATGCATACTTCTTCTCATGGTATAGGTGGATCCAAATATTGTCCTTCATGCCTCTGTTTCCATCAGAAAGTGGAGCTCCTCAAGAGGGGAAGTAAGCAATGGAAGTCAGACTGCGCCGTCGATCCTGTGGCCTGCGGCCAGTGTGTGGCTGATCACGAAGGTACACAGCAGTGTCCGCTGTCCCGGAGGACTGCCCATGCTCCCTGCTCACAGTGCAGCGCCAGCTCCTGGTGTCCTCATGAGTACAAGCCTGCAGATGGAGGCATGAGCGAGTGTTGGCTGTCAGGCATGCTCTTCTCTGGTCCGGGTTTGTCTAGTGCAGAGGGCTTCTGTAGATCCCCATGGGAGCATTCAATTCATTTTCACATGTGCTGGTTAGTTAATACTCAGTATTTAAACCCAGCACAGAACTTCCAAACAGTCCACACACTCACTATTTTCATGAAATTTGTCTGAATGTCATTTGCTTCCACTCCTTAGTCTTCAGTGCTGAGCCTCATTGAGCCTGGTGGGTGCGCACCATATGACAGTGTCCGGTCTTCGTGAGGACAGTTTTAAGAGAAATCCCTGAGTATAAAATGTGAACAATGACTAACACATTTTATACCCATGTATTGACACTATTTAATTTTTTAACTTTACTACTATACTAGTGGATCTGATTTAAATTGAGAACACGTAATTGCCCTCCCCTTCCCTTTTACTATTGAAATTTGTTTTGTAATTGCCACCAAATATTTATGTCTGGAAAGAGATGGTGTAGCTTGTATCTATCCTTCTTTTGTCTTCCTTTGCCCCCTCACTATAGATTATTTTTGCCTCTTCTTAGCACTTCTGTGGGTGCAGAGTCACTCAGGCAAGTTTGCTGCTACTTTGTTGGGGTGGGGGTGTTGCAACTATTTTCTCAAATGAAATTTGGGATTGTCCTTAACTGTTATTTTTTGATTCTCTGAGAGCTAAAAACAAACATAGAGTAATTAAGATACAAAGGCACCGAGAAATATTCATTTCATATATTAAGGCAGAATGAGTTTAGATATTTCTTCAATCTACTTCCAACTTGGAGACTCTATGAACTACAAACCCTTTTTAAGTCATATTTTGTTTCAGGCTTAATAACAATATTTGCCATTTTGTTAAACATCTGTTATATGTTAGGCATCTTCTACATATTTATTATCTCATTTAATCTTATACATTATACAGCTGAAAAAAACTGAGGCTGGTACGTAGCGGAGGAAAGATTCTTGGTCTATCTGACTTCGAAACTTACAGCTTTTCACTGTAATATAAAACGTTGCTCTCTATTTGGCCAATGTCTGAGCATAATCGAAATATTTAGCGTTACCATTGCCACTGAACGCTTGTGTAACCTCAGGTAAGTCACACTCCGTATCTGGGCTTTAGTCTTGTTGGACCAGTTGATATGGAAAGTTCTTTTCTAGATCTCATATTCTGTAGTTCTATGGTATCTGTTTCTAGAATTCCATGATAGCAAAAAACCTGTACTTCTAAGATTTCCTCAAAAATAACTGAAATGCTTACTGAAAAGAAGATGGGTTTTGGAGTTAGATGCATAGGAATTAAAATGCCTTGTGTGACCTTGAGAAATTTACTTAGCTGCACTAAACCAGTGTTTCCTCCTCTCTAAAATGAAGTTAGCCATACCTATCTTGCACAGTTGCTGTGGTGACTAATAAGAAAGCATGTGTGAAGTTCAAGCGTAGTATCTCGTATACAGAAAGTGCTTAATAAATGTTCTTTTATCCTCACCCCAAGCAATTTTCTTCCTATATAGACAAGCATGTTCAAATGAGGATTCCATCCACTACTTATTAGAACCAAAATTAAAAAAAAAAAAACTTTTCCTAAGTTATCGTATATTTCTTTAGCACACAGCAAAAGCATGAGGAATAAAAGTTACATGCTAAAAAGAAGACAATTTTTTTAAATTTTATTTTATTATGTTATGTTAGTCATCAGACATTACATCATTAGTTTTTGATGTAGTGTTCCATGATTCATTGTTTGTATATAACACCCAGTGCTCCATTCAATACATGCCCTCCTTAATACCCACCACCAGGCTAACCCATCCCCCCCCCCAAAACTCTCAGTTTGTTTCTCAGAGTCCATAGTCTCTCATGGTTCGTCTCCCCCTCCAATTTTTCCCCCTTCATTTTTCCCTTTCTACTATCTTCTTCTTTTTTTTAACATATAATGTATTATTTGTTTCAGAGGTACAGGTCTGTCATTCAACAGTCTTACACAATTCGCAGTGCTCACCATAGCACATACCCTCCCCAATGTCCATCATCCAGCCACCCCATCCCTCCCACCCCCCACCACTCCAACAACCCTCAGTTTGTTTCCTGAGATTAAGAATTCCTCGTATCAGTGAGATCATATGATACTTGTCTTTCTCTGATTGACTTATTTCGCTTAGCATAATATCCTCTAGTTCCATCCATGTTGCAAATGGCAAGATTTCATTTTTTGATGGCTGCATAATATTCCATTGTATATATATACACCACATCTTCTTTATCCATTCATCTGTTGATGGACATCTTGGCTCTTTCCATACTTTGGCTATTGTGGACATTGCTGCTATAAACATTAGGGTGCACATACCCGTTCGGATCCGTACATTTGTATCTTTGGGGTAAATACCTAGTAGTGCAATTGCTGGATTGTATGGTAGCTCTATTTTCAACTTTTTGAGGAACCTCCATACTGTTTTCCAGAGTGGCTTCACCAGCTTGCATTCCCACCAACAGTGTAGGAGGGTCCCCATTTCTCTGCATCCTCGCCAATCTCTGTCATTTCCTGACTTGTTAATTTATTCATTCTGGTTGGTGTGAGGTGGTATCTCACTGAAGTTTTGATTTGGATTTCCCTGATGCCAAGTGATGTTGAGCACTTTTTCATGTGTCTGTTGGCCATTTGGATGTCTTCTTTGGAAAAATGTCTGTTCATGTCTTCTGCCCATTTCTTGATTGGATCATTTGTTCTTTGGGTGTTGAGTTTAATAAGTTCTTTATAGATTTTGGATACTAGCCCTTTATCTGATATGTCATTTGCAAATATCTTCTCCCATTAAAAAGAAGACAATTTTGAAAATCTTTTTAGATTGAATGCTCTCTCCCTTTTTTCAAAATAAATATTTTTACCTGTTAGGATAGGCAATTTTGCATGCCATAAATCTTCAGTGTGTGTAAATAACCTCTTCAGTGGTTGTCACTTATTTAAAATATGTTGTTGATTCCCTAAGTAAGAAAATTGTTAATTGGCCATTTACACAATATTCCCAATCAATTTCCTTATCAGAGTATCCTAACATTTAAAACAAAAGCAGTTCACAGACCACCTTAAAATGTTTAACCCATGGTATTTAGACCCAGAGTAAAACTTTAAATTGGTATGAAGGTTAAGGATTTGTTTCAATTGTTTCAGTCCACTGCACTTTTTTTTCCCTGTGCATACATGTTTCAAGTAAGCTCTGTAGTTATAACTATAACAAGTGACACATGACGGACCCCAAATCACTGCACTGTGAAATATGCACAGAAAAAAAGGACAAATGAAGATATCAAGGTCTGTTTTATTTTGCGCTGAACTGTAAAATGCCACCCTTGTTGGACAGAAGATCACTGATTCTGAGCAGGGCTCACTGACTGCTAAGTTGTGGGTAGTGTTTCACTTTCAGCAACTGTTAATATCTGGGGTTATCCAGGCATAATGACCTCACTATTTGTGACACATTGTTGAATTTTCTGGTTCTTTTAACTTATTTAGACCTTTCTCCCCCCTCTCTATTCATTGGAAGACTGGAATGATCCTGAGCCGGGCGATAACACAGGGCTGCCTAGCTATTGGTCATCCAATCAGAGTCAAGGCTGCTGAGGGAACATCACTAGAAGGATATAAATTAATCCTACAGAAAAGGTAATGCTTATGAGCTATTTAGCTCAAAATAGTAAATGTTAATTTCAAGATTTCTGAGCAGTCAGCTTAGATGGAATATTCATTAGGTGTTTAAATTTGTGTTCATAATATCAATATTAATTTTCTAATCTCAAATAAGCTTGAAAATGTAGGTCAGTTTGGTAGTATTTCTTAGGTATTTTTAAAAGTGAAATGTTGGCATTCAACATGTACCTATGTTGTAGACAAGCTGCTGCTTTACTCTATAATTATTGGAACTCATATCTTTATATGCATTTTGATTGTTAATTTAATTATTTAATATTCTGTGTGTATTCTTAACCTTTTCTAAATCTTCTGAATATGAAATGCTGAACTGGGAAAGAAAAACTAAGGAGACAAAAAATTGCTGAAGTGTAGGGCATCAAAAGTCTCCTTCCTATTTGTTTTTGCCTACTTGGTAACTAATCTAGAAAGCAGATTAGTGTTTGCCTGGAGATAGGAGGATGGGGGGGATAGGAGAGCAAGATTACAAAGAGACACAAGGAAACTTTTTTGGGGAGAGATGGATATGGGTATGTTCACTATCTTGATTGTTGTGATGTTTTAACAGGTATATACATGTTTCAAAACTTGTCAAATTTTACACTTTAAATATGTGCCTGTCAGTTGTGCAATATTTTACAGTATTGTATGTCAGTTGTTTCTCCAAAAAGCTGTTTTTAAAAAGTACAAAAAGACAAACTAGGGGAACAAACAAAAAAATCACAACGGGTAAGGAATGACTGAGTGCTTATTTTGGAGGGAAGTGGTGGGGGAAGGGCACTCTCAGTGGAAGTGCTAACCAGTGGTCTAGACAGTCAAAATGGCAAGTGTCTGGAAAGGTTAGACATAGTTTGATGAACACACTCTTCATGCCCAGGGCTGTCCCTGGACTTACTGGATCCTGAAATTAGTGCTGATCTGGCCTTAGCCCACTGAGGTTTGCTTCCTACTCTGGCCAGGATTGTCATGGAACCGAGTGGGACTGAAACCAATAACTTGATGTCCTGGCTGCCTAGAGAGAACAGAGCTTGGGCTAGAAAAGAGATGATAATTAAAAAAAAAAAACTGTAGTAAGTTTAACTTGAAAAAATCTCCATTTACAAGAAAGATTTTGTTTAAATTCAGGAAAGATGGGAAGAAGAGAGAGGGAGAGGAGAGAGGTACGATGGGTGGGTGGGGGGAAAGGGAGGATCCTTATGCAAATTAAGATTATTTGCCTTTATATTAATGCAACTTGATTTTTATCTGAGAAATAAAATCTATTGCAAGGTGGAAGCAAATAGTAGAAAATTTGGAAAACTAGGAGTTCTCACTAACTGTGAAGCTACATTTTGTTTTTTAGAAAGCAGTAGGGACCAAGATTTTTAGAGTTTACCTCATCTCTGGTACTTTTCAAGTATATTTATCTTTTCTAAGAGTTTCTTAAGTGCCTCTTTGTCTTATTTTTTTTATAAGTGCAACCATATTTTATTATAAATAACATAAATATCCTCATGCAACTTCTAGAGACAAAATTTTTTCCTTTTCTCCTAAGTAGTATAATATGATCTTAACAAAAGCTATGAATCAAGACATAGTCTTTTAAATACAAAAAATAATAGAACTAGCACTTAAAGTAGCAACCTGACAACTTACAGAGAATATTGTAAACATATCATGCCTCATTAGTTTGGTTATGTCTCATTTGGTGTCACTCATCTTATTCTTATTCAATAGAGCAAGTGCTTGTACATATTTGTGTATTTAATATTTTTTTCTGTGATGTGCATCGGGCTATGAGTGGATGAAAGGCAAACCAATGATATCATTACCAAGTGATCTGAAAATCATAGAAAATTCTAAAAATTATAAACCTTACAGAACCTTTAGAAAGATGCTTCTTTCTAAAAGATATTTTGGACATCTTAAAGACAAACCAGTTGCATCAAAGTCCTTTAACAAGGCTACCAATTAATCTTGATTTTGCTTCATTTTTAAAGAATGTGGATATGTAGGATTTGGCTTTTAGTGGTAAATTCACAATCAGGGCAGCACATACACATCCCCATTCATCCACACACAGAGATTAGATTATGGAGACTACAAACTTGGGGCCCATGGATTTTGTTCGGCCTGTACATTATTATAATATTTTTAATTGGTTGTGAGCCTATAGATATAGGGAGATTTTACACAAAAAATACATATTTCTATCTTTTCTTGCAAAAAATCAGAAGAATGGGCGGTACTGGACTCTCACCATCTGATTTTACCAGTGAGGCAGGAACAGATTCAGATAAACATATATCCTCCGGTTTGCTATATTCTCCACTGTTCCCAATAATAGCCCTCTCTCTAGCTCTAGACTTCTTCATTCATTTCTATTACCTGTCTGATCATCTTTACTGTCTTCCTTATTTCAGTGTTAATCTTTCAGTTATGGTGTTTTGCATCTCCTTTTTTTTCTCCCCACTTAGGTCTTGCTGGAAATAGTGATAACCGGCCAACATTAATCTAGAGTAGGTTAAACAAACACTGCTCTAAGGACACCACTAACTACAACCAGCAAGTGTAGCTGTGTAGTGCTAGGTGCAGAGACAAAAAGACAGATAGACAGGATAACGGACAGCCCATCACCAGGTAATCAGAGAGATTGAAAATCATCTCTTTAGTCAAGTCTTGAAGTTTAGGAGGCTAAGAGTTAGAATAAAGCGGAATGACAGACTGCACCATTGTAGAAAGGACCGTTTGCCATGCATTGGGAGTTTAAGTAATATTCAAACATATAGATAACACTATTAAAAATATCAACATCAAATAGAAAATTGTCTATGTGTAACTTCACAGTTGGACTGATGGATCAAATTTCTTATCTCTACTCCTACTGTGTTAAGAATCATGGAGGGGAAATCCCTCTCCTCTGTTCTCTATGGATCCTACTTTTGGTCCGTGCAGCATTGGAAGATGCCAGAGCTATCTGAAGCTGTCTGGGAAAATAGATTTGTAACCGTGAAGCATGATGACAGTGGTCCTCCTTATAGTCAACTGGGAAATAATGAGCTTTAACCTATGAAATTTCCCCTAACTGGACTGTGGTTATGGGCTGCCTTCTTGCCTCTACTCTCTGTTAAATGGTATATTTCAAAGAAAAATGTATGTGTCTGTGTGTGTATGTGTGTGTGTGTATACATACATTTTATAGATTCCCAATAGAAATAGTAAAATACATATGCATACTCAATGAGCAAACTTCCCAGGGCAGATAGTTCTCTCCTCACATGTAAAAGGAGAGTATGTGACTAGTCTTGGGAAGTCCTATGCTTTCAGAGAAGGAAGGATTCTAAAGAGCATCTATTCTAAACCCTTCTTTACAAGTAGAAGTAGTAACAGTGGTGATGGTGGTGGTTGTGATAATGATAATATCATTATCTTTATAAAAAATTCCAAGTCCACTAGAGACTAAATGTTCTAGAAAGATCATATATCTGATCTAGTTAATGTCAGATCCAGGACCAGAATTTAGTCCATCACATGTCATGATATTTAACTTTGTTTCTTGGATGGAATACTGCTTCTTCATTTTCCTCTCCTTCTCTCATTATTGATATTGTTATTGCTATTTTTAAATTTTGTTTTTGTTTATCTATAAAAAATCTTTTTAGCTTGCTACTTGTTTACCAAAAAGAGGAACTTTTATGGTATTTTCTAATTCAGTCCCATATGAGCATCATTACATATTGGATCTAAGTTTGATTTCTTTACACATAAAATGTCTTGAAAAATAAACAGATGCACTTGTGTTTGTAGGAATTTTATTTTTTAAAGAAGTTATTATATATTAGAATTATATCTTCTCATCCCACTTAGTGTAGATGCCACATGAGAGACTTGTTTTTTATAGCTTTGGTAATAAAATTTAAAGGCAACATTTATAGATATATACTTAGAGAAACTCCTGATAGGGAAATTACTAGCAAGCTCACAAGGCTTAAATATGATTTGAAACTACATGTTTGCAAAATTTCCTAGGCAATTCCTGAACAGAATTTGAGCTGTGGTAAAATTTGAGAAATGCTAGGAAATTTATATTTCTTTCAGAAGTATTTATTTTCTTAACCAAAATATAGTTTATGTTCTTTAGCTACCCACTAAGAAGATCCCCTAAACCACTGTATGTTAAATTCAAAACATTTTTCATAATGGCCTTATTAATTTTTAGGGTGATAACATTTTGACATTTTATTCACATATCTATTTATGCAAAGATATCTTTAATCTCCTATCATATGCTGGGCCCTGGGATCAGCTCTTAGGACACATGTGGTCTCTGCCCTCACACTGTTGACAATCTGGTGAACATCTCTCCTATTTTATTATCATTTGGGGAAAAGATGCAACAAATTCAGAAAATCAAAACTGAAATTGATGTAGTTTATGTTTTTATAATTACATTCATCCTCAAGTCAACACTATAATTCAATTAAAAGACAAAATTCTGGATTTTACAGCTTTTGACAGTTAGCATCAGTATATTAATTACCAATTGCAGATGTCTTACACTTTGAAAAATTATCATTTCCACTTTATTTATCTTGAAGAAATATGCTCACAATAATTTATGCAACAGGAGGAATTGCCTATAAGCAATAATGTTGTACTGAGTTATAGCTGTTCTGCATTAAAATGATCTAAGTTTTATCAAAACCCAGCACATCTCCATCAAAGCATTACAGCAGTCACTCTATTATTATTTTTAAAAAGAGTGTAGTTATAAGCTTAGGATTGACAACCTTAAAGACCAGCAATAATGTTGTTTTTATTATTTCTTCATTTAGTTGTTGAAACATGAGTTTTTTTAGTACCTCAGGAGAATTTGTATAGTATGAGAATACTTAGTGATTATATGAACACAATTGTATAAAAATATGTATGTTCATACCAAAGTGTTTTAAGTCACTAAGATTATGCCTCAAATTCTAATCAGTGAGCCTAAACTGTTGATTCCATTTTTAATCTTCAAATAACACAAAGTAATTTGTGTTGTACTTTTCCAATCTAATTGAGAAGATGTCAAGCTGAAATTCAGATGCGCTGGGTTCTAGTATCTATTTAATATTATCTAGCTCTGTGATTTTTGACCAGCTCACTTCATCTCTCTGTATCTTACTTTATTCATCTCAGTTCCCTTCAAATTCTCAGTCTATGTGTCATTGTTTTGGATAATGACTATCATTATTAAAATACATTTTAGTTCAGGACCCTAAGTCAAAAAATTTTTTAAAGCTTCTCTTTTCTTTTATTAATTACAACATAAAAAGGTCTCCAGAAGGACTAATTCCCCTAATACTTCTCCCATCCTACCCAGTGCTGAAATAGAACAACAATTATATTTGTCTAAAGCCTGATAACGAGATTCTTAGCTTAGGGATCAGTTAGACCTTGAAAGATGTTTCATAAAAAAAGTTCATCTAAGTATTCATGTTTTCTCACATCCCTGCTTCCTCTTCTCCATTCTAACTTCACTTTCTTTTCATAGTGTCATGTTCTTTTCTTCTTTACCCAAATTTGACATTTGGGACTTATCCTTGCCTTCTGTCTCTAATTCCCACCCCATTTATTCAATCACCAAACCAATTCTCCTTTCATAATAAGTATGTGGTCTTTCCTTCTCCCAGTGCTCTCATCACTGTAGTTCAATGTTTTTAAAAGTCTGATCCATAGACCACAAACATCCAAATTCCCTAGAGTTCTTATGATTGGAATCACTTGCAATACCTGTTAATATAGATTTGGGGGGGTCCAGACCTTCAGGATCAAAATTCTGAGGATAGGGGCTTGGAAACCTACAGTATTATCAAGCATCTATCTCAACATGCCCAAGAATTCTTCACATTTTCTAATATAAATTGGATGTGGGTAAAAGGCTAATGCACACTCAGCCAGTTTTGGACTGCTGCCTTGACATGTTCTACCCAGATCATAAAGCGCCTTGCTTTAGAATAGAGCATTACCTGACACCTCTTATTCCCAACCATTGAAGTTTCTGTCAAAACTCAGAGGCAGTAGGAAAAGTCTTGTTTAACATCCCATTACACTTAATTTAATTCATTTGTCCTATCTTTGTAAGGTTTCTAAATATTAATGAATACATGATTAGTTAATTTAGGCATGATTAAGTTAATCATATTCTAGTTTTTCTTTTTTTTTACTCAGGGTTGTTTAAAAAATCTGATATTCCTTAATAAAATTTTCTGGTCATTTCAGAAACAGGTGCCTGTGGTTCCTAATTTTCCATAGTATCTTTTTCCATCCTATCCTCTTAATCCTTATGCTTAATTAAGCCTCTTTCTGTCTCATAGAAAGAGGATCTTTTGGGGGGATAGAAATTTCTATAATATTTTTATTGATTCCATTTATTCTCTAAAACTCCTAACCAGTGTTGCCATGGGTAATACACACACACCACCACCACTTTGGGTACAAAGGAAATTGATTGTCTTAGGGAAGGAAGGCTTCAGTTGCTGAGGTAGCAGCGATGATGGTAGAATGGTAGAATCCTTGGGAGAACCTGGGCAGTCCTTCTCCTGCCGGGATATGGAAAATGATCCTTTCATTTGAAACCTATAAAATGTTTCAGTGTGGTGAAAAGTTGTCAGTCTCTAAATTACATTTTCATTACAGACATAAAGGAGATAATTCTCAGAAGTGGGTGTTTGGAACTGACAGCTGCATTTATTCTAAGGTAAGGACTTTGTAAGCCACAACTTTTATTCCTAGATTTTTCCATTCCCAGATTCTTATAAATATTCTTATTGTTGAGAGCAAGAAATACTTTTTCTGCACAATGTTTCCCTGTGCCCAGAAGTTTAGAATTTAACTTAACTCAGTACTTTCCTGTGAGGTTTTGTTTGACTTTAAAATACAAGTTTTCCAAGACCAAAAATAATTCTTTCCAATTCATCATTATGATATGACCTAACATTTCAGGGCACCTTTTTTTTTCTATTAATTTTAAATTAAATTAAATTTATTATTTTTATTGAGTATAATTAATATATAACATTGTATAAATTGAAGACATACAACATGTTGATTTGTTACTTTATATATTGCAATATGATATTATCATAGCATTCACTAACACCTCTATCACATCACATAATTATCATGTCTTTTTTTGTGGAGATTAAGATTTAACTCTCTTAAAAACTTTCAAGTATGTAATACATTATCATTGACTATAATCACTATGCTATGCATTAGATCTCTAGGACTTACTGATCTAATAGTTGTGAATTTACACCAGTAAACAATATCTCTATTCCCTCATCCTCTAGCCTCTGGTAACCTCCATACCTTTTTCTGTTTCTATGAGTTCAGCTCTTTTAGATTCCACATATAAGTGATATCATGCAGTGTTTGTCTTTTGTCTGACTAATCTCACTTAGCGTAATGCCCTCAAGGTCCATCCATGTCATAGCAAATGGCAGGATTTCCTTCTCTATCATGGCTGATGAATATTCCATTGTATATATCACATCTTCTTTATCCATTCATCAGTTGGCACTTAGGTCGTTTCCATATCTTGGCTATTGTGAGTAATGCTGCAGTAAATATCAAAAAGATACCTACATAAGTTTTCTTAGTCATTAAAATGAGGAGATTGGCACTTTGGAAAACTGGCAATAGCTACTAAAGTTGAACATGTCTATACAACCCAGCAATTCCCCTACTAGTTTAATGCTAAAGAGAATTAATTACTTATCTTCAGGTAAAGATATTTACTAAAATGTTAATAGCAGCACTAATTGTAGTAGTCTCAGCATGGAGATTATAGAAATGCTTATTAGCAGTAGAATAAATGGATAAATAAATTGTGATGTCTATCTATCTATCTATCTATCTATCTATCTATCTATCTATCTATCTATCTATCTATATACAGGATGGAATACTATATAGCAGAGTTGGAAAATTTCTGTAAAGGACCATGTACTAAAGATTCGGCACTCTGTGAGCCATGCAATTCATGTCCCAATTTCTCAACTCTGCCTTTGTAGCTTGAAAACAGCCATAGATAATATGTAAATAAATGGTATGGCTGTGTTTTAATAAAATTTTATTTACGGAAACAGGTGGTCAGTTAGATTTGGATCATGGGCCTTAGTTTTCTGACTCTGGAGGATAGCAATGCCAATAAACAAACTATAATTACCCATAACAATGTATTTGAATATCACAAATATAATGGTTTACAAAGAAACCAGATGTAGGAGAATATACACTTCATGATTACAGTTATTTAAACTTTAATACCACGCAAAAACAACAAATCCGTTGTGTTAGAAGTCAGGAGAGTGGCTATAGTTGAAGGAAGTTAGTGACTGAAAGGGGCTGTGAGAAGTGCTTCAGCTGTGTTGCTATGTTCCCTTTCCTGACCTGGGTGGTTAATTAAACAGGTATTCACTATGTGAAAATGGATTGAATTGTATACTTATGATTTATGTCCTCTTTTTTTTTTTAAGATTTTATTTATTTGACAGAGTGAGATACACAGCGAGAGAGAGAACACAAGCAGGGGGAGTGGGAGAGGGAGAAGCAGGCCTCCTGCAGAGCAGGAAGCCCGATGCGGGGTTCGATCCCAGGACCCTGGGATCATGACCTGAGCCAAAGGCAGACGCTTAACGACTGAGCCACCCAGGCGCCACCAATTTATGTACTCTTATGTATGTGTATTATATGTACATAAAAATTTGCTTCAGTAAAATGAGGATACTGGCCTTGAGTTCTCAAGATTTTCCCCCAGTTCTATGACTCCAAATCTAAATGGAATGTTAATCAATCATCAATAACTAAGAAAGGCAAAAATTAGATTAACCCACATGGTATCTGTTAGTGTTTGCCTCAGGATCCCACCATTATGATTTTGGAAATGCTGAATTACTCAGATGAATGAAACTGGATATACATATGTATTAATTTTTTCAGGCTGCTGTAACAAAGTACCATAAACTGGGTGGCTTAAACAACAGAAATTTATTCTTTCCAGTTGTGGAGGCCAGAAGTCTGAAATCAAGGTGCTAGCAGTGCTGTGTGCCATCTGAATCCTCCTGGGGAAGATTCTTCCTGGCCCCTTCCATCTTCTGGCAATCCCAGACATTCTCGACCATGGCAGCATAACTCCAATCTCTGCCTCCATCTTCACATGGCCATCTCCCTCTGTGCCTGAATCTTCATATGCCGTTCTCCTCCATGCATGTGTCTGTGTCCAAATTTTTCTCTTCTAAGGACACCAGTCATATTGGATTAGGGCCCACCCTAGGGACCTAATATTAAATTGATTACATCTGCAGAGAACTTATTTCCAAATAAGGTCACATTCCCAGGTACCAAGGGTTAGGACTTCAGTGGACTTCTGGGGGGGACACAATTCAACCTATACCACAGAGCATGATAGTTATCAATGTATTCCCTCTCAGCTCCAGATCTTCAATTTTTACCAGGCACCTGCCTCAGGCAGCTCCATGGCAGAGGATTGCCAGTGGGGCACCCTCATCTGAATGGCTTCCTGGAGCATGTTGCTCGTGGGTGGCTTTATAGTGGAGTGTCACCAGCTAGACACCTCCCTGTGGACAGCTTCTCCTGGTTCTCCAAAGGCAGATTCATGGTAAAGCCTGTGTGTGATCTGCCTCAGGGACTTCTTCAACATGCAGTGAGCTATGGCCGTGCCCTTTTTGATGTGGTTTGGACCTCAGCCTTGGGTCAGGCCTCTTCTGTGAGCCTTCCCTCTCAGACCTCGCAGTACTGGCTGCTCCACATGCCTGCAGTCACATATTCTTCAGTGTTCTCTTTAACGCTTACTTGCCAATTTCCTGACACAAATCCTCTGTTACTAATTGTTTATACTAAACTTCCTATTCAAATTACTGTGTGGTTTATATCTCCTGATTGGACCCTGGCTGATAAAAATAATGGCTTTATTTCTCTAGTGCTCTAGAATGATACTGTTGGGCCGTTATTTCATGACCTGCATCGTTTTAGAAATTTAGAGATTTTGATACAATTTAAATTTTAAAATTAACATAATAGCATTTCCTTGAGTAGTTATTTGTTGGCACACTGGCTAAAATTACAACCTACTCACTAACTCAGCCTGGACTGTACACTTTCAGCTCTGCTCCTAAGCTGGGAATTTGACATAGGCATCAAATGTCAAAACATTTTAAAAAATAACCTTTATACAACTTCATTCTGAGGTTCACCCTAGCTTTCCCCTTGTCCTGTTTCTGACTCTACTACATTCCTGAGCCAGAAGCTCTAGGTTAGTGGAGAGGAAGTCACAGAAAGACCAAGACTACTTATACGTTTGGTAAAAATAAAAAGTAGAATTTCTCTTTTTAGAGAGAGAGAGGGACAGAGAGAGCGAGAGCAGGGGGAAGGGCAGAGAGGAGAGAGAGAATCTTAAGCAGGCTCTATACTCAGTGTGGAGCTCGACATGGGGCTCAATCTCATGACTCTGAGACCATGATCTGAGCCAAAATCAAGAGTCAGATGCTTAACTGACTGAGCTACCCAGGCATCCCATAAAAAGTAGAATTTTGAGACTGGGCTAAAATATTCTTCTAGCTCTTTGGCCTGTACCTGCATACAAAGACTTCCTTCTGAGATATACCTAAACAGAGCTGACTCGTAGGACCCAAGAACATAATTCTGTCCTATATAAGTATTGTCCTTCCCACCAACAGACACAGAAGAGCGGGACCAAGGTGTAAGTGTATTTTCTTTTCTCTCCCCAAATTCAGGTCCTAAACATCCACTTTTACTCTTTTTTTTACCTCCGTTTCTTGCAATTTATAATTTCCTAATTATTCCCAATAGTACATTCCCAATAGTAGCTAGCAAATAATTCATACTTTTGTGTTTCAAACACAATAATTTTTAAAAGGATTTTGATTCTAAAAATTTTAATATTCCATTCCCAAACACAATTGCTGTTCTTTTTTTATTACAATTCACAGAGCAAAACTATTAATGAGGAATTTTATTCTTTTAGAGGTTTAGAAATTTTGACTAGACCTAAATTTAGTCACATCCAAAATTATATCCATCTAGTTAAGGCTAAAATGGAGAATAATTCAATAATTATTTGAGGCTGGATCATAAATGGAGCTCATTTCATTTATTAAAAAAAGAAGACAGAATTACTTTAGGATATTAATAACTAATCTTGGTTCCACCACTTATTAGTTGTGTGGCATTATACAAATCATTTAGCCTTTTGCAAGAGTCACATTATTTGTCTGCAAAAGGGGGATATTAATACTAACATTTTGGTTATTTAACACAGATTCTGGCCTATCAATAGATTCTGGAATATTGATTCTAGCTAATTGATAATTTGTAGCTATTAATGATAACAATAATGAACAAATTTAAATATAATATTGCATTTTGTTATATTGTTTTTACTTGGATAAGTTTTCTTTTATTTGGCTTGTTTTTAAAGTTAACCATTTCTCTATTCATTTGTAAAAAGACAAAGTTAGATTACTTCTTTTATGCAATCCACTAGTTCCAACTAAATTAAAGATTTAAACGTTAGGGTACCTGGGTGGCTTAGTTGGTTAGGCTTCTGCATTCAGCTCAGGTCATGATCCCAGGGTCCTGGATAGAGTCCCACATCAGGCTCCCTGCTCAGTGGGGAGTCTGCTTCTCCTTCTGCCCTCCCCACCTCCATTCCTG